GATTGCGTGAGACACTCTGACCGTTGCAGGTTATGCTGAGATTTCCGCTGAATGCCTTCAAGTCGGCGGAAGAGACCGATCGAGATATGACATGTCTACCTGTTTTCATCCCGACATATGGCTTTTAACTTGCTGCAAACAGCCACCTGATACTACAATAATAACAGACAACACATTTCTGTCTCCGTGTTCCACCTGCTTTTGGTATTTGGCAGTAGCAGTGAAGGAAAAGACTGTATGTATTTATACAGTCAAACATCAACCGTAGCGTAAAAAGACACAACCCCTTCAAATGAACGATCCGGCACGTGCATTCCCGACGTACAACATACGGCTGTTACAGGAACATGACCAAATTATTACGTCCGTGCCATTCAGCCACTAATGTAAACATCTGGAGGGCAAACGTGGTTTCATCTCGGGAGATGAAGAAAGGCCTCAAAGGAAGACAAATTCAATTATATGAACAACCACAATTTCAGGGGGTTGTCATTTGATGTGATGGAGCCAACAGGACTTCAATGTGCCATGTCGACCGTATGAGACGAGGACACTACAGGCAACGACCATGATTGATTGTTTGACTTTAAGGGGAAAAAGAATTCAGCCTCTTTCTTTTTTTTTTTTAATCCAAAGATACAATCTCCCTATTTCATGTTTATATCAGATTTTTCAAGGCGAGGCCAAGCACCTAACCAAGATACCCGCAGACGAACGATTAAAAGGCAGGAATAAAAGACACCTGATGCATCAGTATTTTTTCGGCACCTGTCTGCCGGAGAGACGGACGGTTGTACAGTAGAAAACCTCCGGAGGCTGAGGGGCAGTTAATGGAACGGTGAAGCCCAGTGGCAGATGGCAACAGCATCTTCTCTCTCTGTCATCAGCAGTTTGAGCTAAAAGAAAGGCTGCACGCGTTGAAACGCTCTGCTCTTGCCTTTCTGACATTGCAACACCGTCACACTCCTTCATTTGAAATGTTCACGATGTGCGCACAATGACATTTGGCTCGATGGCAAGATCAAATAGTGTAGCTTTCAATAAATGTCAGTCTGACTCAGGAAATAATAGAGGAGAAAAGGCATTTCCAGTTTTAAATGATATGCCTTAAGAGCTGAGCATGCATTACATTGGCAAACAGTTTAATTCTGCTTTTTTTCAGCCGAGTTTTCTCATATGACACCTTAGCTGTAGAAATGTTTGTGTCTGGAAAATAAATGACTTGTTTGGCCTGAGAGAAATATGCCTGACTCTTATCCACGACAAAGATATAATGGAAAGATTAATATCCATAAAAGAATCTATTAAATGTTAAGACCAACTGATTGAAAAGGTGAGACACTCAATTTCCATTAAACATCAGGGGTTCAGTGAATTGAAGAAGAATTCAGCGCAATACTTCAGTTATTTTAATAACAGTTTGGGCTTATTCTACCCGCTAAGACATTAATACTCTACTGAATAAGATTCAAAGGCCAGATTCTCACACTGCCGTCTAAAGATAATCTTATTTCTTACTCGGCTGAACTTGTGTGTTGGCTCATGCAGATAAAGTAGACACCAACTGTTTCCCATTGACCTTTCCACAAAGGAGCAGCGAATGCTTCAGAAAACAAAAACGCTCAATGAAAATGCAAATGAAAGGGATCCCTCACTTTTTCACTGTAGTTAATGCAGTTATTTTATGGCAGTGATTTATTGATCGCACAGAGAAGATATTTGAATTGTTGAACCAACAGCAAAATAACATTATCTTATGTTAGGGAATGTTTTCACACCACTTGTCACAGTTATATGCAATCAAACAGCCTGTAAAAAAAACGAATGTGAAGATTTGTGTGAAATTACTGCAGGAATTCCTGTAGAAAGATATATATATATATATATATATATATATATATATATATATATATATATATACCGGTATGACTTTTATCTAGAATAACTCCCACCACCTCCTCTATTGTTCAAAATGCATTGCACAGTGATGCATGACATGATGCACGGTGTGTTTTTTTACGCCCAATTGTTATTAGCCTCCTGGGAATGGAGTTATGATAATCAACAGTCATTTTATCTTAAAATGTCATGTTTTTGGGGGCTGCTAAACCTTTACTGTGTCCTGTTATGACAAGAGTGGGCGCAGCTGAGGGGGAAGCTAAATAGAAAACTTCTGCATAGATTTTCCTGAGAGATCCCCAGCTCTCCCACCCTGAGCGAAACACAACGATTTATTGACATTTTCTCTCTGCTTAAAGTAGCAACCAGCACCTTATCTCGTGGGCATGCCATTCGGAAAGGAAATTCAACATGGAATCAGACAGGCGTTAAGAGTAGACCCATATTGCTGCCATTATTTGTAAAATACATGACTTTATGTTGTCGTTGGATGTAGGAGGAAGCAGGACGTCCCTGAGAATCTCATCACTGCAGGTGTGTAACATTCAGGGTAAAAGCCCGTGGGAGCTCGTAGGCCTGTCTGTGCTTCCTGGCCAAATCTGTGCAAACCGTTTTAGATTTAGGAGACAAACTCTTACATTCTTACAGAAAATGTCTTTATTTTCATGGTTACTTTTCAGAAAGCAGCCGTCAGAACCTTTCAGGGAGGAGTCCATTGAATCAGTAGTGCGTGAAACTCATTCAGACAGAAACTGGTGCTCTGCCGGTGAGGAAAATGTCTGTCTGATTTGGGGTTTTTTTGCATTGCAAGAATGACGGATAGAGATTCCTTTTCTTTGAGATTGGAATAATTTCAGTATTGGTATTTTGTGTTTTAAGACTTCAAAGTAAAAGGTTTTACCAGGAAAATGCTCAATGAAGCTCGACTCACTTTGGGGACGAGTCCGTTATGTAAACTTTACTTATGCTGCTTCAGTGTGAAACCTTTTTATCTATACAGAAATAATTCAACAAGCGTATGAAGAATCAATGGGGTATTCATTATCTTAATGGCCATTTTACCACTGAATTTTACCATGAATCAATTCACCCTGTAACATATCCCCAAAGCCTGACATAACGTAGTCCTCTGTGTCACATTGTTGTCTAAAATACATTCATGAGCTACAGCTTTGGAATCAATGCATCCTTAAACATGGCCGCTGCGGTTTATTTTGATTCAATCCCTCCCCAGAAATGTTTACTTGCCTGAGCAGTTCACCACCAGCGAGCCGGGGAAGCACTGCGATAGAGGTCGAATGGAAAAAACTTAAATTCCTAACGTTATTTATAGACAACAATGCGCTTAAGAGTTCAAATGAATTAAACATTCTCAATTAATATGCATTGCTTCATGGGATACACATGTTTTCATACTGTATGATGTTTAAATGAAAACCAGATAAAAGCTTTTAAAAACGTGTTGCACATTTAAACGGTCACTCTTTCTGTCAAGATCCCAGATATTTATTTATTCAGTGAACACAACAGAAAAGAAGAAATGGGCGGTTCCTATGCGCAGGATTAATTTAGTTCCCCTGCCCCAAAACGCGCCACTGCCTTCTATCAGCGAAAGGGAATTTTGCCCTGCAGCTGCTCCAGGTGGATGCAGGTGATCTCAGGGGTCAACCAGCCAGAAGTGTGTGTGTGTGGGGGGCAACAAATACTATGCAAATAATTGCCTTAGGTGCCACATATGCATAGTTACAGCGTAAAATATTAGAAGAAGTGATGGATTAATGACGGCACGCAGTAATGATGAGACAGGGACTGACAGCTGTTAGACACTCTTTGGCTGAGGTGGAATCACGAAAAACTTTTCTTGGACGCTTCTAAGGATTTTTGCACCAAAGCTTTGGCGATCCTCTCATCATGCATCCCTCTCGCATTGCCTGCCAGAGGAAGGAGCCACTCCAGCTCCGTCACCTCTGTTTCATATGCCGAACCTTCCATGGGCTCCCAACAATTCTTTTTTATTTCTAATCAAACTCCCTTGTTTGCGTGAAATGCAGTCCCGTGTCAAAGTGTCAACATGAGGAAATCTCTCTGAACAGAACCACTCAGCAATTTATGCTATTTGGCGCCCTGCTTTATCTCCCAAATCCCCTCTGCACAGAGTTGATTCTGCCAAAACCTCAGACATTAATGCTGCATTGTTTTGTGCCCACATCCCAAGCAGCTCCCCTCTCTCTCTCTCTGTCTCTCTCTCTCTCTGCGTATCCTTTGCTCCTTCCTGAACTGGGAATGCACCCTGAGTGTCTCCCTGAGCGAGCATCAAAATGAAATGTGAAGTCTTTACGCCGCAGAGATGGCAGCGGGAGCTGGAAGGCCACAGGCATGTTCTGCATTCCAGCGATAAAAGGAGAATCCAGACACAATGCGAAAGCAGGGGTCTCGCCGCGTTGTGAAGGTGGCGAGCGACGGGGGAGGATCAAGTTTGTCTCCCAGACAAAACAGATCGCTGCTGATTTAACGGCCTCCTCTTTGTTACAATCGCCATCACATCTCCATCATACGCTAAAGAACTCCCACAACTGGTGGGAGAGATTACCTGCAGCTGAATGGACGATTACTGTGTCCCGTCCCCACCTGCTTTCAACTTCCTCTACCGCTCCGCTTCCTAGAACATGTTCTATTCTAATCTCATTTTTGCACCTTCCTGCGGAAAGGTAAGCAGGGGACCACCGAGGGTTTACTTCTTTCCCTCCTCGAGCGCATCTGCCACGGACATCCTGAGTCTCTCGTTAAATTTCTTGGAATAACTTGTTTTCACTTAATTAATGAAATGTCTGCTCTTTAAAACTCTTTAGATAGAAAACTGGCAACAAAGGAACAGAAAAAAACAAAAACTGACATTTTCCCTGGGGAGCCCCCCAAAAAAAAATCCATTCTAAATGTAAATAATTGTTAATCATGTGGTCACAGCGACGTGAGCGGGGCCAGTTTCCCCGCTTTGCATCTGTCTGAAGCATATGATCGGGATGGGGATGTGTGTGGGGGGGGGTCTCACCAAGCCGTCTAATCCAGAGGCAGTCTGGCTTTAAGACATGTGATACAGTCTTTACGCACAGCGAGGCTGTACGGGAACATTTGTTTCTCGGTGCTGGCTGAGGGGGGGACCGAGAGAGAGACAGAGAGGGAGAGAGAGAGACAGAGAGTCGCTGCTCAGAGGCTGCCGCTCGCTGGAAGGATGCAGACGCTGAATGGAGAGATTCCACTACAGTTAATTAAGGAGCACTCGGCACGTGCCTGTAAACGCGAAGGGGCAAATGAATTCAGTGTCAGTGGGAGCAGCTCCTCAAGGGGATGCAGTGATATTTCAAAGGTGGAATTGAAAGAGCTGTGAATCTATTTCCTGACTCTGGCTTGACGGTCATTTCTGAATCACTGGACCGTTGCTATCAAAGTGTGGAGCAGGGAGGGAGGGTGACTGGAGTTCCCTCCTCCAGCGAAATTCTGAGTTATTGGATGGGATCAACATGAGCAGCGTAATGGATGGATTTATGTCATTCTGTTAAGATATTTGTATACTCTTTGTTCAGGTAAGATTGTTTTTTTTTTTCTTTCTACTCTGGGAACAAATAGTCATGCATGTTATTGTCAAGAGATTTAGATTTTTTCAGAAAACTAGAAAATCATAAATTTGCTATGAAAATCTGTTATTTAAATTCACATCCTTTTATTACATGCACACCGTTGAGATAGACAGAAAGCCATTTTCTGGTACTTTATTCTATGGTATGATTTTGTTTTGATGATACAGAGAATTGCCGTCTCCTTTGAGATGTTCATGCAGCAATTTGCAGAAGTATTTAATTGCGTTCATTCAGATGAATAAACCACAATCAAAAGTACTCTGCACGCTTGGGTAGAGTCTGGACAATGCACTATGAAGAGTATACTGGATGCAATACACATCTTTGATTAAAGTTTCTATGCGCTTGAAACCGTTCATTGTCAGGCTGAAGTCATCAAAATATGTAAAACTCAAACAATGCATTCAAAAAGATGTTTACCTTTCTAATTCTTGTCAGCAATCTGTTGCTGTTTTTGTATTTTCACCTCCATTGAGTTCCTTCTCAGCCACCCTCTTCCCATGACCAGGCGCACACCTTGCGTATCTTTTCCCATTCTTTTTCCTTCCTAAACAGCCCGGGTGAACCCTTACAGGGCTTTTAAATTCCTTTTACTGCTGTGTCACTCTCACGTTATTCCAACGGATAAAGCTGCCTTCAAAATCCTATCTTTCTTTAAGTTTGACTTGGGTGTTGGAGGGAGTCAGCCTGTCAGGGGAAATGTCTGCTGCATGGGGGAGAAATTCCTCAGGGATCGCTCCACATTTGCAGCGCTGCGGCCCTGGGACAAGACGGGGCGAACTAGGAAGACGAAGCAGTGAAGTCAAACTTATGTAATCGCGCTAATGATGAACTCCAGTGACTAAAAGACTCCACTAAGGAGCGTTAATGCCAGAATGCTTTTAACAAAATCATCGTGACATTCATTTATTTGTAATTATCTATCCAAGTGTGTGCGTGTGTGTGCTCTTGTTGTCGGTGGGGGTGGAAGGTCACAGATTGTGAACATGATGTATTTTGTCTTGACTCCACCTCTGCCGGTCCTTAGCAGATGTGTCCTGTCATGTCCTGGCTGCTGTGCCTGTGCCTCTGGGTCAGTGTGACGGCCATTCAGCTGTGTCAGGCCACTTTCTACGACACCATCCAGCAGCACCACGGGACGAGGCCCGGACGAACCAGCATCCACATGATCGGTGAGTCCCTTTCTCTCTCCTGCTGTGGGTGCCGCACATGAGCTCTCACGAGCGTCACAACGAGGAGCAAACGTTTTCTTTAAATGCCATCTTTTCAGTTGCCGCCTCCGGCCCTTGTTGTGTTACTGCTGCATCCCGGGTGTGGTTGCTCAGAGATAATAACAACACTTGATCTTGCTGGTTTTTCGTATTTCCGTCATGACTTTATTGCACACGTTGATGTATTATTGGGTAAGCAAACAACCAATTATTCAGCAAGCACATTTTACAGTGGCGGTTTTTCATAAAGATGTGCTCTTGATAGCATGAGAATATTTCTACTGAAGATCACAAAGACAGACAAAAGATGCCTTTGCGCTTTCCTTCTTAAGCTATTATAGTTGATATTCATGCTACACTGCTCCTTCCCAATTTGATCTCCGCGATTGTGGTCCCTGTGAAATTGCGCCGAGTAGAATCCGACCGAGTCATTGCGGCTGAACTTTTGTTTTCATCGGGCGGATGCGCGCCGCGGTTATGGTAAATAATTATGGTCTCAGAATTCAGCAGAGTGTGAGGAAGTTGAATGCTGTCAGAACTTCAAAGTATCTGCTTGAGCGTGCAGGTCCTTGGTGTGTTACTTCCTCCGTGCGCCGCGAGCTTATCAGCGAGGGGTCTTCTCAATAGTCTACATATTGTGAGTCAGAAAACTTTGTGTTCCAACATCTTGATTTCATTACTCTCGCATGAGCACGCGTATTGGAGGAGAAAGACAAAATGCACTCGTAAATGAGATGTATTCTAAAAGGTGCTCTCGTGTCAACAAAAGGGAAACGCGGGATTAATATTTCACAAGTGCATTCAAGCACGTCTTCGGGGGGGAAACAAGTTCAAAGCTAAGGAACTTCAGAAATCCTTCAGGACCCTCTGCCACTAAAAGTGTAAATGCGCTGTCATTCCATTTACCATAGTATGGCCGGCCCTCACTCCTGGATAAATGAGATGCCAGTTTTATGAGAGGAAGATGGGGAGCCTGTCTGGATTGATTCTGACACTGGCACATTTGTTCTGCGCTGTGTGCCGTGCGCCTGTTGGATTGGTGGGAGGATTGGGGTTGACGGGTCATGAATTGGTGGCAAGAAGGCCATTGGTTGCAGACCATTGGGCCAATCATTGAAGCCAGCGAAATGCCACAAGTTCACAGAGACTGGTAATAACAGCGGAAATCGAGATTACAGAGGTCCAGAGGGATCAGTTTTGTCCTTGCCAATAGAAATTTGGATCTATTGGAGGATGTTGTTTGGAAAACTAAGTCAATCACGTGTAGCCACTCTGGAAGCAGCCAAAGCCTGACGGGATGCTCCGACCCTGTCGGCACACACAAACTCTGCAAAGTGTTAGTTGTAAATAAAAACACCTGCATTGCGAAAGGTGTACGAGAAACAAAGATTACAGATTCATGAGCCGTGTTATGTTGTCATTCCAAACGTGTGCTCAGTCATAATTACTTCTGACAGCATATAAGCGACTGTTCCACTCATGCACCAGGATATTGACGGCCTCATAGCTATGAATATGTGTCCAGAAGTCCATTAGCTGGATGACCCTGGAGTAGAGGCTTGCGTGTGCTCACTGATTCAGACAATGCAGCTCTACTTACAGATTGCTGCCTGCCACTCTCTCATATCCGCTCCCGGCTGTTCTCTGCCTTCCTGGTACAGACCGCGGTATGATTCATAAGGTGCTGTATTCATGTGATGCAAAGAGCGTGAACTGTACACACACAAGAGTAGAGACTGTGCTTGTTGGGAAGGGACGCTGCTTTCGGGGTCAAGCATTTCTCGACCCCTGAACATGTCCGGAAGGAAACAGCAGAAGGCGATTTCTGCTCGTATAAAACATTGACTTGCTAAACAGCGAAATAACCTCCCACTCGCATCAATTTTGAAACTTAATCCAGAGAGAAATACGCTTTGCAGGTGTGATGATTCACAGCGTTTGGAGTAACATCTCAGCTCTTCTATGATATTTAGTAAAGACGGATATGTGCGCTGCCTGCAGAGAGTACAAAGGTGCATTGAATCTGTGGAGCAGCAAGAAATCCTGCCATTGGTGATGCAGTGCGGAATGTGCCGTTGATAATAGAGACGGCTGTATGGCGAAAAAAATATATGGCGGTTGCGTGAGGTGGCCTTGCTTACTCCCACCAGCAGCCGGCTTTGTGGGGTCAACCTGTTCTTAAGCGGAAGGTCATCTATTCTCAACACGGATAATCTTCTGCAAAGTGGTTTTCGGTAAAAATGTGTAGCTGCGAGTGAACGACCGAAACGAGATGAGCTACTCGGAGCAGCTCAACCGTGGATAAAAGCAGAAGTAACTAAATTGTTAGTATCCACAGTGTATTATCATTTATTCAGTCTTAAGTCATGAATACTTCACTCGTGTGATATCCGTTTCAGTGTCTTCCTCCCGCAGTGCACGACTGTGATATTCTTCTATAGCCACTAAGTTGAAACTCTCCCTCGTCAGTCCTGTCGGTCCCGATTAAAGATGCGCCGGATGTCATTTTAGTTTTAAGTGAAATATCAGTTGTATCCTAGAATATGAAGTATTTTTCCAGTGTGGAAATACCATTTAAATCTCTCTAGTCTCCCTTTTAGGAGCTTTAATGAGGAGTAGAGAATCAGGGCTATTTTTTTTCTCCGATGCACTCACACAAAAGAACCCACTCGCTGGTGAAGCCCGTAATGAAACCAACAATGAAAAATGGATTTTCGACTGTCACAAACAAAGGTTGTATTCTCTGCGCGCGCTTTTAGATGCTGAGGATTTAAACCTTTTATATAATGCATCCTGGAGGCACATCATTTTGACATACATCTTCCTCCACCCTTCCCGTACCTCCTCTCAACCATGCTCTCACTAGTGTCATTGCTGCTCCACTGCAGTGCCAATGGGAAGTGGCGTGCAGCCTCAGCCCGAGGCCTCTCCACATCTGGAGTTCAGCAAAACCCACTTTGTCCTGATGTTTTTACACATCCCACTGAGACGTGGAAGGACCCCTCGCCGCTCTGTAAAACAGCAGAAAATTCCTCCACAGCCGCCAAAGTGGTTTACTTCATTTCATTTCCTCTGTAGTAAGGAGAGGCAACGCTGGTGTATTTGACCAGAAATTAACTATTCATGTAATTTCCTTAGTTAGCCCTTAAAGAAAAATACATATTTAATTAAATTAATCTGAGGACAATCAGTGGCCTAATTATTACTGTATGCTCAAAGCTACAAATAGGTTTTACATATTTGGGCATTTTTTCGTTTATTTCCTCTTTCGAGCTATGAATTATTCATAAGAGAGAGCTTCTCTGGGCTTGTGGATATTTGTTTAAACGGCATGTTTAATTGAGCTCTTTCAGCCAATTCTGTGCCGGGTCTATGGTTTGTGGTCACAACGCTTACATGCAAAATTAATTTCTCTGGCCCACAGCTTAATTAATTAATTAACTCTTTCTCTTAAGACTACACCAGCTGACTACGCCAGCTGTTTCTTCACAGGAATCCCTTATCATTATTAAAGGGGGTGTTAAAATGCAAACTCTACTGCAGTGTTGGGGGTCACGGTTGTCTTTTTAAACACAAATAAAATAGCATTGCCTGTAAACTTCTTTGACACACTGTTGACAATAGAAACATTCACCCTGAAACATGTTTTTGTTTCTGCTACCTGCGTCCTTATACATCAAATCAGTGGAGTAAAAGAAGACCAGAAAGGCAGCGCGGTTGTACCGGGGCCCTCGGGTGAGCGGGGGCGGGGGGACGGGGGGGCTTACAGAGAGAGCAGGCCCCTCTAACTGTTCAGGGATGAACGGGCTCAGGCCAGTGATTCTGATTGCTACCCTGGAAATTTACCTCTGTTCAAAGAAGCATTCCAATTCAGGCGCTGCGGAAGAGGTGCACTCGGGAGGGCGCCGATCCTCTCCAGGTGTGTCTGCAGCGATCACAGCTGTACGGCGTGATGGAGTGAATGCAACCACCCGCTCTGCCCACCTGCGCCAGACAAAGAGCGCAGCGGATGGACAGAGCCAATGGCAAAATGGATTATTATTCTACATAAAAGATTATAATGTACAAAACATCATAGAGATCCCTAAAGAGCAGAGGGAAGCGTTTCAGGGTTCAAAAATATCAATATCAAGTTTATTGTTGAGCAATGTGTCCTGTAATTAGTTGTATTATACTAATAAGATTAATTGAATCAGGATCATGATAGAATAAACTGGAATGAATCCAATGTTGAATGGATATGTTGAATGGAATGGATATGTTGGAACCAAAATCAAAGGGTACGTTACAGCTCTGGTGCAATGCATTGCACCAGAGCTAACCAGGCCAAGGAAGGAAAGGAAAATCACGAGTGAGTTTTGCGGTTTGGAGACATTTGCTTTTTAATAACTGCAGAACACATTTAGCCAGAGAACAGCATTATTAGTTAATCTTTTTGTAAACCACTTTGCTCTGTTGGGTAGAAGAAGCAGCGCGTGCTCTCGGGATCATTAGCAAGATTTTAAGCCCCCTGTTCTGCTTTAGTAGTTAGCGGCAATTTTCTAAATTTGTGGTGACAGCCGACACAGCTGAAGGATTCTTGACTTTGAAACCCTGAGTCGTGAAAAAAACGTTCAGCTTGTTCCAATCCAGAAATAGTCAAAAAAACAAAGCTACGCTTTTAAAGACACGTTTGTTTTTGCTTTGTCACAACAGCAAACCAAATCAGTGTGTTTTGCAATTTTCTGGGAGCTGATTGTGCACACAGAACATCTCGAAATGTACAAATGAGTAAATGAGTTTCTGTATCACATTCATCTTTCACATCGATAAATGTGTAATGATAGTGTTAGCTGTAATTATTTTCAAGCTGCCACTACTGTGAATAGTGTTTTTGCATTAGACCGGGGCTGTAGACACAGATATACAGAAGGTTACATTATATATTCACAGATCTTGGTAGAATCACTGGGTGGGAGGGA